TTAGGCAAGATGTCTACCACTGAGCTAAATCCCCAGGCCTATAGTGTTGTTTAGAGCCAAGGAGAAATGTCTAAAGGATCATCACAGCCAAGCACAGAAAGAAATATTACACACAGGTAAAACAACAAAAAGGTCTTCTAACCACAATTTTATGCTATAAAAGCTATCTCCATTCATTAATTTAAACAATTACGTGTGTATGTGTGCTTGTGTGTGCACACATGTGCACACGTATGGAGGTCAATGGACAACTTCCAGGACTCTTTCCACCGTGCAGGTCCTGGGAACTGAACTCAGGTTATTAAGGGTAACAAGTGAATAGAGGAAGTTTCAGTACCACGTGTACAGTACAAATAGTTTCTACTAGAAAGTGCAGAGCACTTGCTATATGTTTATAACATGCAAAAGGCTGCAAGGACCTGGAGGAAATATGTGATGGGCAAGAGAGATAATTTATGGACAAGGGAGCAGAATGAAAGCAATGGGGTCCCAGAGGAGGCAGTTTGCAACTCCCTCCAATAAAAGAGAATGCGTTTTAGTTCATTTCTTTGATTTAGGGGGTCACAATATATTGAACTGCTTAGCCTGAAATGCTTTAATCTATCAATCAATTATATATTATTGTGTTTGTGTGCATACTGTATGTGTGTGGCTAGCCTAAGCAACACAGTGAGAGTCTAAAAAAAAAAGTCAACCATACAAACAAATAAAACGAAGCAAAACTGTATTAAATAACAGCAAATGGGCTATTCTACTTTTCAAACAAGAAGATAACCCATCTAGTCTGTAGTCTCTATAAACGCTCCCTAAGGCTCCTGGCATGACAATGACATGAGCTTTATGTTTTGAACTCAGCCGAGAAAAAGACTCCTAACTTAGACCCTGAAGTCCGCCCAGAGCTGGCCACTGATGACTACTGTGGGCACTTTCTTGACGTCCTTTGCTGATGAATTTCCTTTTTCTAGAAATATTACCTCCCCCTCAGCTGCAATCAGAGGGTAAGTGGTTATTGCCACTTCTATGAGACCCCGAGTCTCAACTATGTGGAAAGGGTGACTTGGAACCAAGCACGTGATCCACTCCCGAGTGCTCAGATTCTCCAGGTATCTGAAAATGAGAACTGCCCAGAGCTCTTAAAAGTCTGGAGTAGAATTTAAAAACTTCACTTGAGTTTGGTGATGCATGTGAGCAATCCCTTTTAAGGTTTTCTTCAAATCCTCTCTCAAGTTTTCTATCTAGTTCTGGAGACAGCATAGAGCTTACAGGTGCAGATTATAGACAAACTGCCTATATCTAAACCCAAGCTCAGTGGCTCATCAGCTGTACAACGACCTTGAGCAGCATGCTTAAGCATCTCTTCAATTCGAGCCCTTTTATCTGTAAAACGGTGGTGCCATGGGGCTGCAGAGAGTGCTCAGCAGTGAAGGGCACTTATAGTTCTTGTAGAGGACCTGGGTTCAGTTCCCAGCATCCACATGGTGGCTGGGTTTGAATGAAAATGCCCCACAGAGGCTTATATGTTTGAACATTATATGTTGAACCAGTTAGTAGAACTGTTTGGGAAGGGTTAGGAGTATGGTCTTGTTGGGTGAGGTGTGTCAATGTGGATGGGCTTTGAGGTTTCATTAGCAGGCAGGCAGGCATGTACGCACGCACACACACACACACACACCCCTCCGCCTGCAGTCTGAGGGTCAGATGTGAGCTTGCAGATACTGCTCCAGTGCCATGCTTGCTGACTGCCACCTTTCTCTCTGCATGATGCTCATGACTAACCCTCTGAAGCAGTAGACAAGCCTCCAATCAAATGCTTCCTTTTAATAGGTTGCCTTGGTCATGGTGTCTCTTGACAGGAACAGAAAAGTAACTAAGACAGTGATTCACAACCATATAACATCAGTTCCTGTGGCTCTGATGCTTTCTTCTGACCTCTGCAGGGACCAGGCATGACTAACTGGTCACATACATACATGCAAGTAGAATTCTCATACAATTAAAATAAATAAATCTAAAAAAAAAACCCTCATGTTTTAAAAATGGTAGTAATGGAACATCCATTACAGTGGTATGGTATTTAAATGACTGTGTGTATTTCTTAAAGAATGATAATCTGACATAGCAAATGCTACAAAATATTAACTATCACTACGCTAAAACCAATCCACCCTTCTATTTAAATATTTAGAGAAAACTTTTCTTCCAATTCTATCACTGAAGTCATTCCTCAGGTGGGGCAATACTGAGCTTGGCTGGCATAGACCACAAGTCCTGGGAACTTCTGAATGATCCTCTTGGTAACAGGAGATCTTTTCTTGCTCTTTCAGGGCCTCCTCAGTTCCCTTCCCTGACCCACAAGGGCTTTGGGATATTAACCACCTGTTTAATAGCAGACAAACTGAATTCTAGTTACATCACTGCTGACCAGTACAAATAAATGCCTTTTGTCCTTGCCCTGGACAAATGTATTAGAGCTCTCTCACCCAGGAAGTACATGTGATGTGCTGCTCTAGACTCTGGGTATAGATTACAATATTTATACATTGTGGGGGACTGGGAAGGGACTGGCCACTGTACTTATACCTCAAGCTAGAGTCAAATGTAGGACTGTTTTCAGAACTACAGAAATGATCATGTTACCCTGCAGCCTCATCTTATACTCTAGAGGTTCAAATACTAACACAAGACTGGTGGTTATCCAGAGATCATGTATCTGACAACGACCATACAAGCATAAATCGTGTTTTCTAATCATTTTTAAATATTTTATATTATGCTGTCCTAAGAAGGCAACAAAACAAGTACAAGTTTTCTGATTGGAAATCTCCAAAAACATTTTGGATAGTGATAAAAATCAAATCAGGTAACATGTAATACTTAAAAACTTTTGCTGTAATGTATATATTCCAGAAATTAGAATTTAATGACAGTCCTGATAGAGAATGGTGATAAACAGTCCTAGACAAGCAATCTTTGATTACACAGTATTAAAATAAAGATGAATTTTGAAAATTGCTTACCTCAGAAAATATAAGCTTCTAAAATATGCTAAGTTTTTAAAAACTACCTCCTTCTTCCTCAGTCATCTGTCTTCATTCTTGTGTCTGACCATTATTTCTAATTTTGGCCAGGGGCTCTAAAGCTCATCTCCACTTCTGAGGCAAGTAGGTAATATTGTTTATTAAGTTATGCACATATTTGTCTTTTGAATTAATTTGTATGTGCCTATGTATCTAAATGTTTTCATGTGTACATACCTGTGTGTATCCACAAAGATGAGGTCATTGGGTATCCTCCTCAATCATGCTCTGCCTACTCTTTTGAGGCAGAGGCTCTCCCTGAATATGGGGCTCAAGTATTTTAGAGTAAGCTAGAAGTCAGCAAGTCCCAGTGATCCTTCTGTCTCCATTCACCTCAGAACTTGGTTTAAAGGTACGCATAGGACACTCAGTGTTTGGAATAAGTGCTGGGATCCAAATTCCAGTCTTTGAGATTGCACAAGTGTGTAACTACTTAATGAACCATCTCTCCAGTCCCTAGAATACACATTTTTTTAAAAAATTATATTTATTTATTTGCTGGTGTGTGTGTGTGTGTGTGTGTGTGTGTGTGTGTGTAAATGCTAACGCTTCCTTCAAGGCATGGGAGTGCCAAGGCCCTACTCCTGAGCCTCCAACTGCCAGGCTCCACCCACAGAACTCTCTAAAGCCCATAATGGCCAGGCCCAGCCTCTCCAAATACAGGTTGTCAAAATCCACACTACAGAGTAAAAAGCCCAGGATCAGGCCACAAAATACCACCAATTCTAGGCCACAATGGAAAGCTCTGCCTCTAACAAACCCTATATAAAGCACGCCTCCCACTCAGTTCTTTGATGCTTCTTGCCCAAGCAGAGACAGCTACCCTCCTGTATTTTCCCCAATAACTCTCTTGTGTGAGGTTTGATATTCACTGACTCCACTGCCAGGATACCTTTCCCCCTCAGAGCTGTAGCACGTACACAGTGTGTGTTTTAGAGTTAGAGGACAACATTTGGGAGTTGGTTTTCTCTTATCATTTGGGTCCCTGGGATCAGGCTTGGCAGCAAGTGCCTTTATGCACTGAGACACCTTGTTGGCTCAAGAGCACACATTTTTAACAGATGATGTGAACTGTACCTTGGAAGAATGGCCAAACGTTTACAGGGCTCTATGCTGTGTTTTGTGAGTATTCATTATGTACTTGTGAGCTCCGTAAGCCATAACCATGTAAGAGTTCAGTTCTCATGGCACTTCAGGATGGGTAAGGATAAACGATGGGAAGCAGAAACACAGACTTTGGTAGTGCTCACTGCTCACCTTGGAACACACCTGAAACTACAACCAACATTCTTCTCACAGCTCAAACTAAAACAAGGAGCAGCAGCTTAAAAGGCTTAGAGTCAAAGAACTAAATGGAGAGAACTCACCTGATAAACTTTCAACTCACAGACGGAAACGTCTGCTCCTTGAGAGTTTCTGCACACAGGAAATGGGAGTGTGGTCATCTATATTATTGTGTCCAATCAACTGCATGCCTCTAAAATTTCCTGAGTACTTTGACCGGTTTCCACTTCTGGTAGATCTCAGGGACCCAAATGATAGGGGAAAACCAACTCCCAAATCTAAATCACCTGTCATGCCTTTCTATGTGTCTGTATTTAACCATCTTAGCTCTGCCCCCAGTGTGGTCTTCTCGTTCACTGTTAATGCATTCTTGTGTCCATATATAATTTCTTTGAAGGAAGCCTGTGACTTCTTACCACTTTGTGTGCTTAGACTTTTTTCCAAGCAAGGCCACTCAGAGAGTAATTTGAGCCAATGCTAATTATTTTTTGAAAATATTGATGAGTCCTCTCTCTATGAGCAGGTGTATTCAAAGAAAGCTTTAAAAAAAAAAAAAACAGTAAGAAGGCCTTGCCGGGATCGTCATAGCCTGGGCAGGACATCATGTCACAGGAAGAGTGAGCTCTTTCCCTTTTTACCATGGAGGACTCGGTTAAGACTTTTGGATCAGAGGAGGTAGATGCAAACTATTGGAGAGACCTGGCCATGACCTACAAGCAGAGGGCCGAGAATACACAGGAGCAGCTCCGAGAATTCCAGAAAGGAAGCTGGGAATATGAAGCTGAATTGGAGACTAAGCTGCAGCAAACTGAGACCAGGAACTGGGACCTCCTGTCAGAGAATGGAGTTGGAGACTGTGAGGGAGAAGTTTGAAATGCAACATTCAGAAGGCTACCGGCAGATCTCAGCCTTGAAGGATGATCTGGCTCAGAAAAAAGCCATTAAAAATCAATTGCAGAAATATATCCAGGGACTGGAACAAGTCAATGATGAACTGGAGAGAGCCAAACGAGCCACAATCATGTCTCTGGAAGGCTTTGAGCAGCGCGTGAATCAAGCAATCAAAAGAAATGCCTTCCTGGAGAGTGAGCTGGACCAGAAGGAAAATCTTCTAGAATCCGTGGAGAGGTTGAAGGATGAAGCAAGAGATCTGCGGCAGGGATTGGCTGTGCAGCAGAAGCAAGACAAGCCCCGGACACCCTTGCCAGGCTCTGGGGAAACCGAGAGGACAGACAGGGCTGTGCGGGCTACAGGCTCTATGCCTTTCACTCCCATAGCTCACCGAGGACCCAGCTCTGGTTTAAACACACCAGGAATATTCAGACGTGGTCTGGACAGCTCTAATAGTGGGACCCCACTCACACCTGCAGCCCAAATATCAGCCCTAAACATCATTGGGGACCTGCTTCAGAAAGTTGGGGCGCTGGAGTCCAAACTAGCATCATGCAGGAACTTGGTGTATGATCAGACCCCAAGCCAGGCAAGTGGACCAGCCTCAGGGCAAGGAACCAAAGGCCGAGACGGTGGTGACAGATGGCCGAGCAGCACCAGTGTTGGAGATAAAGGGCTTCACTGTGTATCTTCAACTGGCCTGGGACTTGAAGGGCTGTGCAGACCAAAGAGCTGCCTATCTCTACCTTCTGTGTGCTGGGATTAAATGCATGCATACCACCATGCCCAGTCAAATTTTCATTTAAAATAAAAATTTAAATTATTGTGTGAAAAAAAAAACAGTAAGAATAAGAGAAGCTGTAATATCTGAGTAGAAGCCACCCAATTTTCTCACTGGGAAACTTCCTAAGAACAGATGATAACAATGGTTCATAAACTATTTTAAAAGTCCAAAATTAACATAACATTGTAAGAAACCACCCATTCAATCAAGATTAGATTCAGATTCTATGGTTGTAGCACAAATTCTAATTGTTCTTCTCTCTCTCTCTCTCTCTCTCTCTCTCTCTCTCTCTCTCTCTCTCTCTCTCTCTCTCTTTTTTTTTTTTGAGACAGGTTTCTCTGTGCAGCTTTGGTACCTATCCTGGAATTAGGTCTTGTAGACCAGGCTGGCCTTGAACTCACAAAGATCCTCCTGCCTCTGCCTCCTAAGTGCTGGGATTAAAGGCTTGTGCTACCACTGCCTGGCAAATTCTAATTGTTCTTAATAACAAAACTTGAGTCAGATATTAAGGGGTGAAAACTGAAGGATCAGAAAAGCAGTGCAGTAAGCCACTAGAGAGACATTTAACCTCTAACAACGCTCAGACCAAAGGGGTGATCCTATCCTCAGACTATTTCCTCAGACTGCAACTGTCTCCGGCAAAGAATTGCTCTTGTCTCCTCCCACTTTATATTCCTCCCTCCGCCCAGCCATATCACTCCCTAGGACGGGGATTAAAGGTGCAGGATCCCAAATGCTGGGATCACCTTTGTGTGAGCTCTGCTTCTCTTTTAAACAGATTCAATCTCATAAAGCCCAGGGTGTCCTTAAACTAACAGAGATCCCTTTACCTTTGTCTCCCAAATCCTGGGATTAAAGGTGTGTGGCACAGCTCCCTGGCCTCTAGTGGCTTAGCTCTGCACTCTGATCTTCAGGCAAGCTTTATTTGTTAAAACATAAACAAAATATCACTACATTTTCTTCCTTTTTTTCTAAAATAAAAGGCTGTATATATATATGAAAAACTATATACAGTAAGTACAATAACTATATGCAATATATACAGAAATAAGTACATCAAGAATGTCTAGTCCATTTGCATTTAACAAATTCAGAGAAAATACTCCATTACTTATCCTATCTTGGCGAGTCCAAAGTCTTGTACCTAATTAACTTTCTATCCTAATTTGTATTACCATTTAAAACTATCTTTTGATATCTTTCAACCTTATATACTTTACACCTCTTTACTGAGTTTCTTTTCTGAGTCTGGTGAACAGGGAAGACTATAACTATGAATATCTATCTAGTCTTCAACTCCCTCAGAGACCCCACAAAAAAATAATATTAACTGAACAAGCAGGAAGTGTGAACAAGTGACTTCCAAAAATGTGAGAAATGACAGAAACAGCTGGCTGCCTGGACAGTCACCCAAGGTTCCCCTGCAGTGTTGGGGCATCCATCTTTGACCTACAGGCCTAGAGTATTTGACAGACTTTCCTATGAAGCAGGATTTTTGAAGGACTGTCTTGTCTTGTCTTGGAAAGGTTTTGTAGTCACTCTCTTTTGTGTACTGCTTGTACAATTTGGACATCACACTTTCAGCATATCATGTAACATTTTAACATAAAATACATGGACCTTAATATATACATTTCATAACCACATGAAATTGCCTTATTTTGAGGTAATTCATGGAAGAAATAAAAAAATATTTACTTATAAATTAAAAGAGTCAGAAAAGGTACAGTTGAGAGAACTAACCCAGATTACTGAAAAAAAAAATATCACTTAGGCATTTCTTGCTGTGGGTCAGGATTTAGAAAAAGTGTGCACACACATGAAGTATATTGTTATCCTGTTTCTTTTTGCAAATAAGGTTAAAGCACAGTCTAATTGTTCAAAGTTAAGTTGGAGATAGAGTACAATGACTAAAAGATTGAACAAGAAAGCTATGGAGAACACAGTATAATATGAATACTACAATCCATAATGCTACAATGGTAGTCAGTGGCAATTCCTGAGGATGGTCCCACTCAAGGGAACAGAAGAGTTATGAGAGACAAGGCTGCTACTGCTTGCTTCCAACTCCATACCACCCTGGTGTTGTAGCAGATCTCCAGGGGCTACAGGTGAATGGCTGCCAGTCCTAACAGACAATGTCCCTGCCCGACAACGCACAGGGCTGGCAGGAGCCATGGAGTTTGAACACAGTGGTAGCTGGCAGACTGAAACTAAAACAGGGGTGGAGCAAAGGCTTAGGTGCAATCAATTCCAAATTCATTTCAGCTCTACAGATTTCTTAATTGTTTATGAACATCGTTTTAGTAATGCTATTGCATTCTACCAAAGTTATAATGATTTATACAAGTATATATAAATATATCATTAGTGCTTAAAAGTGAGGAGAGAGGAAGGAATCTCTTCTCAGAGCCTGGGACAGTTTCCTTTTCTGGTCATGGCCCCAAATGATTCAGGTAAGTTAAAGAGAATGAAATGACTGAGTTTGCTACTATCTGCCAAAAGTTATTTGCATGCAGAGACAAATGAAAATTAACATGCTTCTTATTCTCTATCTTGCTTAGTAAGATGACCTAAGCTAAAGAAATATGAGTTACAGTTGGATCTCAGAGACCACAGCAGAATATTCTCTGCCGGTTAATTACCAGAATGTCAAGTCGGTATACTACCTAATTTCATCAGTACACTTTTTGCCTGGATGCAAGTGCCCTGCTGTGGCCTTTAAAGAGAGGCCTACTTATTAATCAGAGCAGCCTTTTAGAAGAGTAGGGAAAGAAATGAGGCTAGCTGAGGCCTTTGTCTTCATCCTCACTCTGAAGGAAAGCCCTCATAAGTGAACAATGATGCTTTCTAGCGCATTTGATCCCTGCACTGCACAGGGTGGGCTTGGTGGTACACACCTACAGTCCTAACACACAGAGGGCAAGGCCATCCTCAGCTATACAGTGAGTTCCTAAACAGCCTGGGATACAACAGACCACGTCTTAAAAAAAAAAAAATACAGGGTGCATGGTTTGACTCACTCTGTCACAGTACAGCTTCCATGCTGAGACATTTTTGTTTTTGTTTTTCTTTTGAATTTTGTTTTGGTTTAGGGGAGGTTGAAAGCACAGAGGGTGGGTTTGAAGGGACAGGGAGATGGATGGGATCAGGATGTATGATGTGAAACCCTCAAAGAATCAATTTTTTTTTAAAAAAAAAGATAAAATTGTACCTGTTCAGCTTTCCTCAGCTTCGAGTTTAGGTATAATTGGGTGGTTCCTAACTGAACTGCTCTTGTATTGTCCTTGTCTGCAGGAAATCACTAGAGTCCCAAGAGGAGAAAAGGCTGGCGCAGGAGTGGTACCCACAGTGACTAACAAGTACGATGTTGGGTAGTTCCTCAGATGGCTTACAACAGCAGGCTGTCACTCTGAAACTCTAGTGACACAAATTCTGCTGCATTTCTACAGCTTGTATGATTCTCCTTCTCTTCCTCCTCCGTTCATATTCTCTTTACCTCCAGTGAGTGAGCCTGGGGCCGCACACTCTATCACCGGTCTCCTTATATTTCGAATAGTGTATCTTAAGTTATGGTACTTCCCACGGTCAGATATTACACAACTTAAATAGTCAGTATTCAAATAACATTTGATTTCAATTCTAAAAAGTGCCTGCTACAGTCATCTGAGAGGAGGGCAGCTCAACTGAAAACTGCCTACACAATACGATCAGTCTGTCGGCAAGCCTATAGGGGCTTTTCTTAACTAGTAATTGATGTGTGAAGGCTCATCTCAAAGGTGGGCAAAGACACCCCTGGCTGGTGGTGCTGGCTCTGTAAAAAAGTAGGCTGAGCACGCCATGAGGAATAAGGCAGCAAGCAGCACTCTTCCATGGCTTCTGCATCAGCTCCTGTCTCCAGGCTCCTGTTCTGACTTCCTTTATAAACAGTGATGTAGAGTGTAAGCAAAACAAACCCTTTCCTGTCCAACTTGCTTTTGGTCATATTATTTTGTCATAGCAATAGTAACTTTAAATAAGACATAAAGCAGAAAATCTAGAATAACATACTATATTAGACTTCCTGGACTAGTAATACCAATAACAAAATAAACAAAAACAACCTAACTTCAAGCTAGACATTTTCTCATAGTTCTAGAGCTAGAATTTCACAACCAAGGAGTCAGCAGATTCAGCTTCTGGGGAGGGCTGTATGGTTTGCAGATTGCCCATTCTCAAACAGTGTCTCTGTTTGTATGCGCAGTGCAAGAAAGAGCTCTTTGCCTCTCTTCTAAGAACACCAGTACTGTGACTTTACTCAATCTTAATTTCTTCCCTAACAGTTCTGTCTCCAAGGAGATGGATCACAGCTGGGGTCATGACTCCAAAATATAAACTCTGAGGGGCACAATTCAGTCCATAATACCTACTAAGAAATAACTGTGTGTGATCTTTAGATCATAGCAAAGGAAGTTTCCTTAAAATTAGACCATTACAAAGCATATTTAAAACGCAAGAATATTTACTGGAAGCACGTACATTTTGATAAGCATCCTGTCTTTCTTCTCTAAGGCACAGTTTTGACAGGATTTTATACAAATCATGAGTAAGAAACAGTGCCGTCATTATGGAGCTATTGTATATAACTCCACAGATTTTATTATAGATAAAAGCACCTAATACAAATAAAATTTGATGAAAATACTACAGTTATTAAAGACATATGTTTAAAGATTTGCTTAAATTTCAGAGCTACTATTTCCTGGCTATGCAGATCTTGGCTAAATTAAACACTTTTACTGTCTTTACCTAAAGAGGCTACCAGCACTGACCTTGCCTTGTGGTGCTGCCGGCAAACATAACCAAGGTAACGTATGTAAAGTGTTTTCAGCATACTGCCCTGACACACGATCCATGCTCAACACGTGGGAGCTATTCCGAGCATCACCACTCACGTTTTCAAAGTATGCTATGGAAGCCCCCAAAATAGGACTAATGTGGAG